AGAAAACCAGAAAAATGCTACTGAGGGTTGGGAAGACCTAATGAGTTTAAGTAAAGGGAACTCTCCAGGGCCACAGCATAAGGAGCAAACTATCCCATACACATGTGTCTCTGAAGGTGCAAAGAAATCACTGTCTTCTAGAACAGCTGGTTGGAAAGATGACCCCAAACATGCAGAAAAGTATAAGATGGGGACCATCCATTTGATACAAATTCCAAAGAAATACATACTCCCTTTTAAGAAGATGATTAATATTTTTAATGCCCTAGGCTGGAAGTCAAGAGGTTTTACAATAGCTCTACAGAGCCACTTCATAGAGGAGGTCACCCAGTATCCTCGAGCATTTCTTCCCCTTAAAATAATGGGGTACAATGAGATCTCTAAGGCTAACCCGCAGCTAAAGCTCTGCGACTCCATCTGTAAAATTCACTTAGTACAACAGCTCATTCCCCAGTGAGGGATAAATGAGGTGTTACCCGGCTGCCTTGTAAGTTTCATGCACATGTTTCATCTCCTTCAGCTAGAAGGTGAGTTCTGAGAGGGCTGGAATGTGTCTCTTGTCTGGCACCCAGCACATGTCAATAACTGTTGAGTTGACTGCAAGAATGAAAGAGGGAATGCATCTTATCTTTCCTGGTGCAAGAATAAAAGACATGGGCTGAGGAATCAGACTTGAACTTTAATATAGCTTCACTCTGAGTCTCATTTTTCAAGTTTATAAAATGGGATCCCATAGGGTTCTTTTAGCTTATTATCATCACCAAGTTAAGTGTTTTTATTGAAAGGTAGGCAAAAGAGAGAACAATGATCTCAAAGGATAAAGGGAGCTCTTTAATTCATATCTTGAATAGGCTAGTGGCAGCTGTGTGTATGTACCTGTGTTCACTCAACAAACATTTTTGAGGAATTGATAATCACTGGAAAGACACCATCAGAGAAAATATTCACTAAGTACCTAAATATACCACGTGCCCAGCACTTTTCTGCACTAGCTTTAGGATGTAGGAATTGTTCTTCTCATATTAACGATAAGAAAGTGATGCTCTGAGAGGTTAAATAACTTGTTGAAGGTCAAACAATGGGTAGACTAGCAGATGTGAGAAGATTGGAGAGTTGAACAAACTATAGGGAAAAAGCTCAATATCTTGAGTATTTCAATGATTACTCCATGCTATTGCCAACCACAAGATAGAATGAGAAAGTGAGGGGGACAGAGAAGAGGCCACTTTAACTAATGACAGCACACAGGTTAAAATCAAGGTGGAGTTCAGTTATAAGGGGGAGACGGATGAAAAACTACCATATTTGCATATTCAAATGCAAAAAACAGGGGTTAATTAAAGGACTTACTCAATTAGAAAATGACATTTAAAGAATCGTTCAAAAATGATTCCCTTCTTACAAAACATCGAATTATTTCTCATTGTGGCAATGAAAAGAATTAGGTTGGAAATGGGCCTAGGCATCTGTGATGCTATTGTTCTCCAGCTGTTGGTGAGCCCACAGAAGAGCCTCTGCAATGGGAAAGGCGGTGACCCCAGGCATATGGGGAAGCTAGGGGGAGTTGGGGGGCACCTGCTGCTCTAGTGCAAAGGGATCCCAGAATGTTTAGGCCACGATTATGTTTGTTTGTTTGTTAATCCTCACCCAAGGATATTTTTTCCATTGATTTTTTTTAGAGAGAGTGGAAGGGACAGAGGGGTAGCAGGTAGGGAGAGAGAAACATGGATGTGAGAAAGACACATCGATTGGTTTGGGGCTGGGGATCAAACCTGCAACCCAGGTATATGCCCTTGATCTGGAATCAAACCCACGACTCTTTGGTCTGAGGGCCAGCACTTTAACCACTGAGCAAACCGGCCAGGGTTTTTAGTTTTCAGAATATAGAAGGAAGGGTTGTGCTATAAATACCCGTTCCTCTCCACTTTCATTGCCAGGCAGTATTCCCTGAAGTGGGTTTTGTTTTGTTTTGTTTTGTTTTGTTTTCCAGAATACAAGTCATGTGAGAATTTCCCAAGAAATTTCCATTGTCAAAAAGCTTTGGGAAACACTATATCATCCACATCCACGGTGCCTATTACCAAGTTCATGCCTTTGAGGACTCCTGCAGTAAGGCATCCCTTTAACATTTCCCAAATTGATTTCTCCATGGAACCCCTCTTTCAGGTAGCACCCAGTAACATCCTGCAGAGCTAGTTCTCTCTGGGGCACATTAGAGACCCTCCTCTCCCACCTGGGTTCTTTCAACTGCCTCCAGGCTCACTTCTCTGTAATCAGTCATCCCCTGGTTATCAAGTGATCTTTCTAGTGGGAAATCTGACCATGCTTTACCTTAACCAAAAACCTTCCCTGACTCCACACTATCTATAGAGCCAAGTATGAACTCTTTAGCTTGACATTTAAGATTCACCCTCATGCAACTTTAAATGACAATCTCAGGCTACTCCTTCCTAGCATCTACCCTCTGGATCCCTGACCATTCACCCCATGTGCCAGTCTTTTACAAGTGTTTATTTTGAAATAACTTTAGATTCATCTAGAAGTTGCAATGAGAACATCCAGCCTTTCCTAAATGATACTCATTGTTTCCTGCCTTGGGTTACCATTCATGGTCACCTGTCTTTAAGGACCATTTTCATGTCTGATTCGTCTTTGCATTTTGCCCAGAACCCAGCACTAAGTACAGATCAATAAGATATAGGCACAGTGGTTCCCAGACCTGTGCATTTCTTAGTAAAGTTTTTTTTTTTAATTCAAAAACAAAAAATAACTAAATTTACTCCTCATTGCTTCACTGAAAAGGGGCTTTCTAATAGAAGGACAGTCTATCTACACTAATAAAAGAGAAACATGGTAATTGGCGTACGACCGCTACCCTTTTCATTGGCTAATCAGTGAGTATATGCAAATTAACTGTCAGCCAAGATGGCGGCCGGCAGCCAGGCACTGAAGCGAGCAGGGAGGCTTGCTTGCTGCAGACTCCAACGTTCCCCGCCTCACTTGCCAGCCTCTCAGTTGCAACTCTAAGCAACTATATACTATGTTGCAAATAAGAAGGTAAACAAACCCCCAGAAAACAGCCGGACTGAAACCCAGCCGGACCGAAACATTGTATCCATGTTTTCAGCAGCGAGGCCTCAGAGCTAAAGCTGGCCCAGAAAAAAAAAAAAAAATGAAAACAAGGAGCGGTTGGAAGCTTTAGTCACTCGCCAGCCGGAAAACAGCCCTCAGCCCCTCACCCAGACTGACCAGGCACC